GTAGCAGTAGCAGTAGTAGCAGCCGCCAGTGAGAAGCCTGTCTGTAAATCTCAGGTTTCGACGTACCACGCTCCTCCCGAAACCTGTCTGCCCGACCAGTGCACTTGTGCTCGTGCGGAGCACCTCGGCTATCTGATTGTCTTGTCTGACATCTTGAAGGCAGTCAAACTGGGCAGATTCTCGAATGAAATCACGGCAAAACTTTCTGGGTGTTGTTTTCAGTCGAAGATCACAGATCAGCGACCCCCAGAATAGACTTTCGCTGTGAAAAGTCTCCCATTTGAGCTGTTGTTTTGGGAAGCATCGTGCTTGCATTTTAAATCCGTAGTTAAAATGGCCGAACTACTGCCACACTCAGGAATAGAAGATAGTCGCAGAGCCGGAAATCACTCGCGAATGTTGACACACTCGCCTGCACAGCTTAGATCCTAAACCCAATAAAAAACCATACTGTTATCGGCATTGTTATCGCGATTAATATCTGTTTGTACCCTAAGTGGTGTTGTTAGTATTATTATCATCATCCGTTACCTTCTATTCCACGGTAGTTTTACTGACCGTTGGTGTGATTGTTGTCGCTATTGGCTGCCATATTTTACAATGTTCCTCGTGATGATGATTATTTCACGATGGCTGTTGTCATTGCTATCGTCTTCATTAGACATATTGCTGCAACGCTGTTTTTATTCATAGAGTTTTCTGCTGTAAGCAGTCTCTCTCGTGTGTTATCTTGCTAGATAGACAGATAGATAGATAGACAGATACATAGATAGATAGATAGATAGATAGATAGATAGATAGATAGATCCCCAGACGGTTGGATAGGAAGGTAGAGACGCAGACACCCACACGGCAGGAAACCAGATCGATAGAACGATCGATAGATAGTACAGATTAGGTTAGATTAGACTAGAGATTCATAGATTAACTAGTGGGTAGATAGATAGATACATTCCTTCATACTTCCGTATATCTATGTAGCTATGTACATGTCTAAGTATGCGTGTGTACATATATATATATATACACATACATACACACACACATACATACATACCTACATACCTACATACCTACATACATACATACATACATACATACATACATACATACATACATACATACATACACGTACATACACATACATACACATACATACACATACATACACATACGTACACATACATACACATACAGATATAGAGTTGTACAGCGACAGTATGACATGCGATATGGCTCTTTGTAGTGCCTCAAGTATTCTCCGCGATGCCCAGTTTGTGTTGTGTTGGACATGTTTCTGACATGCCGAGTAGTTTTGACAGGGCCAGTGTCAGAGAACAGCACGGGAAGAAATGGCTTGGTATTGCGGACACGCAGGAACCCGATCTGCTAGACCCTAATAACCGCAAGCTGTAAACGTCATTGTCGTGAATCATATTGCCTAAACTGCACCCCCCCTCCCCCCCACCCCCCGCCAACGCTGAAAGAAGCCCAGCAGCTCTAATTGTGACAGGAGTCAGGTAAAATGAAAATGTGCGTTACATATGTCTGTCGTCGCCGTCACAAAAGACTGCTCAACAAGTGTTGAGGCCCGCTAAACTTGAGGAAGTAAAACCGCCTTCGAATTGTTTGGGGAATCTATATTGATGCCCTAAACCTCCTAAACCCGAAACCTGATGTCTAGGCCCTCGCTTAAGACGACCAGAGTGCTGAGGCTTCCCAGCTGCTTCAAAGGCCGGAGGACATCAAAGAGTAGCACTTTGCGTTTTAGGGCATAGGGCATTGGGGTTTACGGCTCAAGCAGGTTCAAGGCTTTAGCTTCGCAGGGATTGCTTTAGGTTTTGGAGCTTCTATGTTTCGGGCTTAGGCTGTCAGGGTCTTGTGGGGTTTCTGGCAGGTTTTGACCTGCACAACTTCATTCAGGGTTAAAGGATGTTAAGGTTCGTGCGGGACTCAAGGAATTATTTTAGTGAAGCATTTGCTGCTTCTTGATTGCGGGTATTACTGCCCTGGGCTGTCGTTATGATTTTGAGACTCGGGACTGCGCCCCAAGAGCCGACATTGCTGTTGTTCCTCACCTCTATACAAACCTATGAGGCCCCCCCATGTATAGGTCACTGGGCTCTTAGGTACGGCTTCATGGTTTTCGGGGTTTAGGGGGAGGCAAGGCTGAAGGCGTTGAGGTTCAGAATGTAGGGCTCCAGGCTTTGGGAATCAGCACATTCAGGCTGTTGGGCTCAAGGCTCTAGAAGTGCCTGGGGTTTCGTGTAGGGTTGAGGGTGTGAAGTGTAAAGCCTGATATCAGCCTTGTCCTTGATAAGCTATGATGCCGCTACTACGAATGAATATGTTGGTGTTGCTATCGGGCTCTTGGTGTTGCTATTGTAGATGTGGTCATGATTGTGGTTCTGTCATCAATCTTGGCCTGGTTATCATCTCACTGGCTCATTGTCGTGTATGTTGTCATCGCCGCAAATGCTACTGTTTGCTAGCATGGTTAGCACGAGAAGTAGCCGTGGTCGTCTTACTTTTCTTCGTCTTAGTCGTCGCAGTCGTGGTCGAAATCGTCGGCATCGTTGTGGCAGCAGTTGTCGTAGGCGTAATCGCTGTCGTACTCGGAGTTGTGGACTTTAGCGGAAGTAGTATGAGCAGCAGCAGCAGCAGCCAGAGGAAAAGCATATTCGTGATGAGGATTGGTATTGCTGTGTGGTTTTGACCAGGAACTGGTTTACTTTGTTGGCGATGCTTTTGCTCACTGCCCGTACTGTCGTTACTGTCTGTTACCTTGCTATCGGAGTTGTTGTCATTGCCGTCCAGCCCGAGCACTGGGCAAGTATACCATGAAACAAGTCCAGCCTAAACTCCCATTGGCAGGTACGCCCTTGAGCGATGCAGATTTCCATCCTGCTGTGCCTGGATCATCCTTAGGACGGATTCAGGGCGGGCTTGAGGCTTTCAAACACAGATCCTGGCGGACGAGATTAGGCGTTGGTGAGTAGGGGTCATGGCACAAGAAAAAGTAGCAGCAGTAGCAGTAGCAG